CATTCTCCTTTAAACCTTCTCTAGTTGGGTGATTCTTCTTCTTGAATCTCATTCTTGTAATGTTGTTTGTTGATTTAGGTCAGTATGAGCCTTGAATCAAGTTGTTGATCCATTCAAAATAGTGTTGTGAAATATGTGAAGTCTTGTTTTTCTCCTTTCTTGATTCACTTCACCTTCGAGGTAAGGGGAGCTAGAAATTTGTGTTTTGAAGAAGTTGTTTGTTGAAGTATGCAATTGAAATTTTGTTGTATCCATGGAAATTGTGGTTATGTTGCCTAATTTGGTGTGGAGTGAATGTCAAATTGGGGTTTTGGTGTGGTGAGAAGCATGATGAAAAGCTTGATGATTTGGATGAATTTTAACTTGCATGTTTGATATGGTGCTGAAATTGAGTATTATATAGTATGCATGAGTGTATTCTTGTGTTGTACGTTGATTTTACTGGATTTTTAGGTGAATGGAAAGGTAGATTTGTGTTCTGCTTTGGTGCAAAATGCTCATTACGTCAGGTGCAATTTCAACATGAGGCTCTTTGTCTTGTCATGTTGGGCACAAAATTGGTGGCGTCGAGTATGAAGAGAGAGACTCATCTTAAGTTGAAATGGCTCTATACGTGATTTAAATGACATCAAGTGTGAGAACATATGTGGACAAGATTGAGACATACATTTATAAAACGACCACAATATAAGAGCAAGACTCATATCCAAACTGTTATATTTTGACAATAGTACTAGACTTTATAGTTTAAGTGATGACATCCAAGAAATCAAGTTTTCGTATTGTGAATTGATATTCAATTTGTTGTTGATCTAACAAACCCAGAAAGACCACTCTGTGTTGTTGGTTTGGTAAGGTAAAGTCATTTAAATTGCTCATCCTGTGTTATAAGAGATCGTCTAGTTAAAATGACACATGTAATTGCTAGTTGTATGTACTATGTTGTTGTAATGAAAAAATTGTATTGTTGTAGAGATGTTCAAGTTGATCTAATGTTGTAATAGATCGAGTTGTTCATATTGATAGTGTTAGTTGTGTTGTGATGTTATAGTTTTAGATATGTCTTGATGTTAATGTTGATATTGTTAACAATAAGACATGATCCATATTACTTATATTAATGTTATATATGTTGTTTTTTTGAACTCCAACTTCCCCTTAAATGTTTGTCAAATTTTGAAAGTGGTTAGTCTTGATATTCAACATAAATTATTTCTTGGTTTATATATATATATATATAATTTATGTGAAAGTTTATGAATAAAACGTTGATTTCATCCATGCATTAATTTGATTTATAAAACTGACATATTTAATTAATTTGATCCTTAATATTAAAAATATAATTTTATTCCCTACAGTTGTTGAACTTGGTTCCCAACACACCTACTATCAAATTAATTAGCTTGACGAATCAGAATTTGTTTGGAAACATGTTTTCTCCTTATACTTAAAAGATGCATCGGATCAAAATCAACCATATGCGCGTATATTGATTTAGGATTTTAAATATTTTAATAAAAAAATTGCAGTACTCATCAAGAATTTTTTTAATATAAAAATTTTGTGATATTCAATCACGATAACTATAATTTTTAAAGAGTATATTAAAATATGATTCTATTTGATTGAGATTTTTCCACTTAAATATTTTGATATTAAAAAATGTAAATTTTGATGATTTATTTTGTAAGATTAATTTTATGAGATATTTTAGTATAATTTATATATAATACTTTTATTTAAGAAGCAATGATATCCTTATCTTTAAATAAATAGAATATTTGTCTTAAAATAACAAAAGGTTGTTATTTCTATAATAAACGGTATATAAAATAAAATATGACTCAAATATTATTATCTTTACAATTTTTGTAGTTCTGATAAATATAATTATTGTTATATGTTTTTTAAGACTAAAATCCAATACCGAATCAATTGTGTTTGGGACCCAGGAATAAACTAGGTAAGGAAAATGGAATAGGAATCTATACCCACCGGCCACCACAGACAAAGGCAAATCCTTCTTTGTATGATTTGATGGATCAAAATCAAAATAGAGTGAAATAAATAAAAAAGATATTAAATTCTATCAATTTTTATCTTAAATAAAACTGAAAATGTGTATAATTATATAGATATAAATATTTTGGAGGTGATGAAGGAATTGTAGGCTTAGGATTGGGTGATAAAGTGAAGGTGCATATTACACGTGTAGGGTTGTCCGTTGTCCCCTGCCCTAGTGGTGCATGTGAAAAGGGTTTTGTGGTGAAGAAAACATGTGATGATATATCATATTTGCTCCAACATCCTCCCGATATTTATTAGGCACATATGTCACAAAACTCAACTTTACACCAAAATGGATTCACGGGGCATTGTAAAACAAATCTAAAATATATCCATCTTTTTATTCTAGATAACCGTAACAAACACTTTTCTCAATAATCATAACATGGGTTCGTCTCATCTCAGTGAAGAACCAATTTCATTTATGCAAAATACTAAAACTGAAAGATTCATTTTTTTAAGATTTCTTTTATTATTATTTGGGTTTTTTAATTTTATTTTTCTTATATAAATTAATTTTTTTAATGTTTCGTTAATTATCAAATTTATATGTATTATTTTTCTTAGTTTATATACAATAGTTATAAATTAAATAAATTTAAACACCTGATAATATTAATTTAATTTTTTATTTGATTAGAAATAATTTAACAATTAAATAATTTGTTTATTTTCACCCACACTCGTTCTACTAAGTTCTTTTTCATTATTACTATAAGAATTTTGTGATTCGTTAAATATATATATATATATATATATATATATATATATAGAAAAAATATTTATATTCGATCAACACATCCTTACTTGAGATATTTTGGAATGATCACTCATTTTACTAAATTTCAAATTTAATAATTTAGAATTTACAATCCTAAACCTGTAAACATGACAGATGAATAGATTAAGGATAATTGAGACAAAAAAATTTAACTATAAAAAATCCTACGAAACCCAGCAACACCTTCTATTTAACCAAAATACTCATGGTTGAAATATTTAAACATGAAAAATATTTGTTATTGATAGAAAAGTATCAAAACTTTGTATTATAGTTCATATTATGTAATTAAGAGAGAAAATAACTAACTAGGAGAAAAAATAGATGTTAACCTAACACTTAAATTTTTATTGTTTGAGAAACTAACAGAATTTTAGTTGAGGATAATATAATGACTAACTTGCATAATAGAGTTAAAATTTAGGAACTTATATGCCGCAAAATCTTTCACAAATTTATTGACCACCTCCACCATCTTTTAGAGATAAACTTAGGTGTTTACTAAAAAAAAACCTCATTTAATTAAAAAAAAAATCATGATACACTCATTTAATTAAGTTTGAGTTTAAGTAAAAATAAGTAGACTCACCTAAAATAAGATATTTTGTATATAATAAAATCACACATAAACATTATTAATTGTTTCACTTGAATTTAAAAATTTAAATAAATGAATAACTTGATTTTAAAACAAAAATAGCAAAAATATCATGCCAAACATATATTAGTGTTTTTTTTTTACTGAAATAATATTTTAAGGGTTGTTTAATTAACTTTATTAAATAATAGCCAATAAATTATTATCATAAGCACGTTCAAACAACACTTATTACTTTTTTTTTAATGATACCAAATAGTTTTTAATTTTTGTAAAGTTACTTTGATCTATTTATTAAAAAATTTTAATTTAAGAATTAGATTGTTAAAATTCAATATAAATAATGTGTTATTGAGTGAAATAACTATATTGAGAATTACTCTTAGAATAAGTGTTTACTCTATATCGAGAGTTACTTTATCAAATAATTTTATAATTTTATAAAAGTTTATAAATTTAATTTATTCATTAAAATTTTTTAATTTAAAAATTAGATCGTTAAAATTTAACTTATGAAAGACTTAAATTTATACTTTATACTCAGGTGAGGTTAGGATTTAAAAATAGAAATAATGTGATTTATTTTATTTTATTTTTTATAAGTATAAATTTAGTTAGTAAATTTTGAGGGAAAAGAATTTTGATATATTCAATATGTAATTATAACACATAAAAAAATAAACAATTAAAATCCAAGTAATTTGATATTTTTGGTCAATCATGTTTTTTAATTTGTTAAAAATCTGAACATAACTCGGGTATGGACTGAATTGATTGGTATTTAAACATCTGGACCACTTAATTAGATCCGTTGCATAACTCAGGTATGGGCTGTCGGCCCAATACACATCATGTATCTTGAAATTACTCGGACTGTCGGCCTTGAAATTAAGCCCAGTATTTGCATGGAACACCCATTCTCTCTCGTTGACTTGTGTTTTTTCTTTCCCTTCTTATTTCTCTCTCTCCTCACACCAACTTGTTGCATCGTGTAAGAAAACGATGCTCTTCATTTAGATAATTCCAATTGGAGTTCAACCATCGTGTTCAATTCAACCTTATATTTTTTTATGTCTATAAAATTATCCTGAGTCTCCTACAAACTTACTCTAACACAATTTTCATTCCCCCTTATTCAACATGTAATAAATAGCTACAATTTAATAACTTGAGAACAAGAACACCAGCTTCACTCTGAGGCTACTCAACTGAATTACCACTTTCAAATTTCAATCACACGTGAAAACTGAAAACCCTTTTCAGATTACTAAAAGTTATAAAGTTCAAAATCACATACATCAGGGAATGACAAAAAAGCCCTCCAGATACTTTCCTAGCAATTCAATTAGCTTTCCACGCCCAACTTCCGAGGCTCACGGTCAACCACGGCACCTTCGCATTTTATCCCACAAAGTTAAAAAATACATGTAACAATTACTATTATACAAGCCAAATATTCGGGTGTTAAATACAACACAAAACATTGATAGAATAATAATAGATAATAAATAAACAAAAATATTTATATACGATTATATTACGTAGAGACGGCAATTGGCTTTACGTCAGAGTCCACCATTGCTTATTTCTCTCTCTCTCTCTCTATGTGCAGACTATGATTGATATTAGTATAGTGATTAATAATGTTGATTCTTATCTCCCAGTTTGCTACTACAAAGGGCAATTGTGAAGTGTATAACTGGGTTTGCTTCAATTAATTTTTTATTATTATTATTGTTTTCATTTTTCCATAGCCGCCTCTTGTGTTTCTCGCGTTCTTTCAGCTCCAAGCTTTCTTCTTTTACACACCCCAGATTCCGAGGTTCACACTTTTTCTTGGTTCTCAGTGGAAAGTTTTGTTCTTTTGTCTTTTCTGTGAATTGGGTATTCTGAATTGAGTTCCATAGTCTTGGATTCCTAGCCAGCTGGCTCCTTGAGATATTTTGTCCGATTGGGTGTTCGAGGTTTTGGAGAAATTGAGGAAACACTGCACAACTCTTGTTACTTCATCCAAGGCAACTCCTCTTTTACGTTGATCTTTTGTTCTCACTGTCAGAAACTGAACTTGCCCTTTTTGTGCAGAAATTGGATTCATGGTGGCCCAATTTGGTGAATTGGGCTAACTCTTTGATTGATCGCTGGGGGGATATTTCAAAGAAGTTAAAAAAAAAAATCTATTTTTGTTAATATTTTGGAACCGTGAAGATTTGTGTTTTAGGCTAGAATATGGTGCCTGAGAAGGATTGTGGTAGTTTTGTTTGGTAGTTTTATGCGCCAGGTTGTTACAAGGAAATGATTTCCTATTGGACTGCACTGTTTAGTTAAGAATGATGGCTATCACTGCTTTATTTTTGGTGCTATTGCTGCAATTGTCGACAATTTTAGGCTCTGAGGTTGTGTTACAGTCAAGGGATTGTGGCACTGATTGGGTGGGACATTCATATTCTAGTCATGGCCAGGAACTGTTCTACATAAACGGCAATGTAGTGAACAAGGTTGCTTTTTGTGAAGCTCTTCAATTGTATATTGCAAAGGGGTGTGATGTGAAGGACTACTTTGGAAGTGTCAAATGTGTGACGGATGTCTCTTTTGGTATGGTCTCATATGATGTTGATTTGTGTATGATGTGATGCATTTCTTTTAACTTTTGTATTGGCTTTATATGTTTGCAGGGAATTTACCTTTAAAGGCGGGGAGGAAACTTTTGCAGAAGGATTTAAACAGTGAATCCACATCACAAGAAGATTCCAAGCCTCTTTCAAGCAAGGTAGTTGGTATGTATGCAGGGGGAGCTATGTTGGTATGTTGTGCTGTTCTTTGTCCTTGTTTCTTTGCCAAGAGACGGAAAGCAACTTCTCATACTGTTCTCGCCAAGGACCCAATTTCAAGTAAGTTGATGTCTATGTAAACTTTTACCACCTTTTTTTGGACTTTGTCTGGATGACTTCCATGCTAGACAAGTGCATTCATGTTATGAATTTGAAGAAGGGTTTTCTTGTATGCAGTTTGATAAATAATCTCTTCCTGTATTACCTTAAAACTTTCAGTTTCTATTGTTATTATATGCCTTATTTTTTGTTTTTCAAGATTTTGATTCCAGTTACACATGGATAAGTAATTAACAATTTTGATCTTTTAGTGGATTCAGTTTCCTCCTTTGAAGCTTCCGTTAATGATAAGGTTCTGGCAAGTCCACTTCGCGTGCCACCTAGTCCAGCAAGATACTCAACGTCTCCAAAAATCAGTAGACTTCAATCATTGCATCTCAATCTGAACCAAGTTACAAGAGCTACCCATAACTTCTCAGAATCATTACAAATAGGAGAAGGAGGTTTTGGAACTGTCTACAAGGCCAAGTTGGAAGATGGCTTGACTGTGGCTGTAAAACGAGCAAAAAAGGTAAGAAGTAACTCTTAATATGTAGTTTAAAAGTCTGCAGCTAACCTCAGAATGCTCAAGTTCTGGATTCTGTTTTGTTAGGAAAATCGTAGATCAACATTGTATTATGAAATGCTTTAACTGTCCTGTGTCACTAAAAATGGTAGAAGTACTTATTTTTTCTGTGTGATGTGGCTAATCTTATAGGAGCATTTTGATAGTTTGAGAACAGAATTCAGCAGTGAAGTTCAACTTTTGGCCAAAATTGATCACCGGAACCTGGTGAAGCTATTAGGTTATATTGACAAAGGAAACGAACGTCTTCTTATTACTGAGTATGTGCCAAATGGTACTCTTAGAGAACATTTGGATGGTAAGACTATTGACTGTTATCTGTCAACATCTGTCTTTGGATATTGAATCTAATTCTTGTCATGTCAATATTACTGGCAGGTCAACGTGGAAAAATCCTAGACTTCAATCAGCGCCTTGAAATAGCAATTGATGTTGCTCATGGCTTGACCTATCTGCATCTGTATGCTGGTCAGTGAGTCTATTTTATGTATTTTGTTCACTTTCTGCATTTTCTATTGCATACAAACCAACTATAAGTTTGTTCAGTTGTTCTATACACTACATCTTACAAAATTAGATTATAAATAGATGCTTTGAAATCTTGAGTATATACAAAACTGCCTTAAATAGGTTTATATGATGTTTGTTTATTGAAACAGTCTATTCACAATGCTCAGTAGTGACCATTGGTACCTTTTCAGCATGTTTCTATGGAATCAACCTTCTCTATGCAGGGGTGAAAATGTGCATATATTCCTAACAATGTGCCCAATATTAGGTTTTCAGTTCTTAACTTATTTTATTTCTTGTATATCCGTGCAGCATGATTTCCCTATTGTCTAATAAAATATATAGATCTTCCAATTGAAACTTGATGCCTAATCCTAACCTTTCCCTTCTCTTGGAACAGAAAAGCAAATTATCCATCGAGATGTGAAATCATCCAACATTCTTCTGACAGAAAGCATGCGAGCTAAGGTTGCTGATTTTGGATTTGCAAGGCAAGGGCCAGTGAACACTGATCAAACACACATTTCTACTAAAGTGAAGGGAACAGTTGGTTATTTGGACCCTGAGTATATGAAAACATACCAACTCACTCCCAAGAGTGACGTTTACTCATTTGGAATTTTGCTTCTAGAAATTGTGACTGGCCGCCGTCCTGTTGAGTTGAAGAAAACTGTTGAAGAGCGAGTTACACTCAGATGGGTAAGCTCAATTTTTTATTTTTTATTTTTATTTTCAACAAGTGTTAATTGTTTATTTAATCTCGACATGCTTAGAAAAGGTGATACAGCATTTAAGGTCTAACTTATAGTTTCATGGGACCTCTTTATGAAAGTCCACTGTAAACATGAAACTGAGTATGCTAAAATGTCACCTTGAAACTGTTTGTGGTCTCTCTTTGAAGATCTCTAGTGAACTAGAAATCATGCTGTCCCGACCTGTATTTTTTGCTTAGTCTAAATTGAGTTTGTTAATAAAATTCTCTTAGTAATTAATTCAAAAGGTTAATTTCTATGCACTAATAGTGTAAAAAACTTACATTGTCAATCAATTAGAAATCATGGTAGGTAAAACTTTATAAGTAATTATTGTAAAAATGAACAAACTTGCCATACATGACAATTTGTAATTGAATAACAGTGGAAAAACAACACTATCAGTACATACTCCATTTTCTCTTAATTCAATGCTAGATCAAAAGCTTTGTTATCTCTTTTCATTTTGATGCACTCAACCTATGTCTATGTGTTTGATCTGTATCCAGGCGTTCAGGAAGTATAATGAAGGCAGTGTGGTGGAACTGGTAGATCCTTTGATGGAAGAAGCTGTAAATGCAGATGTTCTGATGAAGATGTTTGATTTGGCATTTCAATGTGCAGCACCCGTTCGAACAGATAGACCTGACATGAAATCCGTGGGCGAGCAATTGTGGGCAATAAGGGCAGATTACCTCAAGAGTGCAAGGAGAGAATAAGTGGTGCTATTTCATGATGATAATGATATTGTGAAGTTACTTTTTTTTTTTATTTTTTTTTTAAAGATTTCTCTCTATCTATCCATCCTATCTAAAGGTGTCTCATTATTCGACAGTAAATTGCCTCATTAATCATTACTCTCAAGTTTGAGCATTAAATAGCAAGTGGCAACCAATTGCAACTAGCGCACAAAATAAGACCTGAATAAAAGTAACAATCTTTGACCAAAATATTTGTACGCTCAGGAACTTCCTTGTCTTGCGACTGGAGTATTTTTCTGTGTATGTAGAGTGTGGATTTTGTAAAAAATGGATGTGTGGATTTTGTAAAAAATGGATATGTTCTTTTAGGTTGAAGGGGTACAAGAGAATGGCTTCTGACTATCTATGATTGTGCGAATTTTCATGTTATAGGACGATTGTTCATTCACTGGTGAAAAACGGGTGAATTCTAGAACATAATTGTTAAATGGCACAGTTGTAACTAATAACAACAATATCATTTTTCTTTATTTCTTTCCAGCCATAGACGAATGGTCAACCAACTAACAATGTGGCTAGTTCATCAATATTCAAGCTTCGGATTTCTAATCAAAATTTTAATATTTGACATCCAACCATATTAAGAAACACAGTTGTGGAAAAATGCGGTGAAATCAGTCAAGATGTTTTCAGCTTAAGCCCTTGAGAAGCCAATCCTTCTAGACAGATATTGTATGCTTTCTTATTTAGGGTAGGAAATTTAGAAGGAAAAAAAATCATTTATGGTAAATATTCTCTAGTAACGTTTTTGAAATAAATTATGATAAATTGACATAATGTACAAATCCTTCATTTTAATAAACAGCATATAAATCTTAATTTAAAAGTAAAACTTTATTTCTTCTTCATTTTCCTCAAACATATCCATGAAAACTGAATATACGGAAACTGTACTGTATTTCTATAATTGAGAAGCGAAGCACCCTCGGCTAACCACTGATCATTTATCATGACAGAATGTATAATGCAGTTAAAGTAAAATTCAATCTTGTTGATGAGAGGCCATCCTTTGCCTCATGTTATTGTCAAAGAACAAAATTGTGTTTATATCCTATGGCAAGCATTTTATGTACAAAGTGGAACAATAATTGAAGAAGGGCTCATAGAATCATACTTTGATTAAAGTAATATGACTCAGCTCCGGATTCCATGCATAAAAATAAAAAAACTATCACTATCATTCTAGTCTCGTGAATAAGAAATCCTTCTGCAACACAAGAATCATTAAGCTGGCTAGCCTTGGTCAGATGCCCTAAAAGATTATTGCAAGAATATGTAGGCCAAATTTTTTTTCCCTACGCAAGGGTGCTAAAAAATCTTAATCTTTTCCCCCTGTTTCTTGCCAAAAACGGATGCAAACCCAATATATGTTCTGGCATGAAATCGTGCCGCGTGAGTATACCCACCACAGGTGATCTCTGCAGTTAGCATTCACAAAACTTAGATGAGTGAGCATCAGAGAGCAATAAAATAAATTGTTAACATCAACTAAAAGTACCATGGCAAGGAAGACTACACAAGGCATAAATAAACGATCCAATTGGACCCATCAACCCATGTGAGGTTGCTACAGATATTCAAAATAAATCTCTCACCATAATTTCCTCTCCTATCAAGACAAATAAGACTTTAATTCATCACATATGCACATATAACATGTTTGGATACAAACTCAATAATTTTTAAGAGCTTTTCTACTTAAAAAAATTCTTTATTTTTAGTACAGAAGCTCTCAAAAGTACTTCTGAATCATATCCAAACAGGCTCATAACCCACAACTAAATGTAGCACCCTATTTAACTAACAACAGAGCAGTCAACTTTCCAGATAAAAATTTCAACAAGGCATCAGAAAATTACTTACACCGGAGAACTTGGGTACCACTAGCAGATGCCTTAAACCAAGCCCTCGAAAAAGAGCAAGGGCCTTTCCCAGTGACATTGTCTCCACAACAGTATAAGGAGAAGCATTAGCAAATGGATGTAAATCTATGAACATGTCCAACTCTTCCTCCGATAACAGAATATCCTCTATCTTTAGAGTAACTCTGCTTGAACCCTTCTTTGCAAAATCATCAGCTGAAAACTTGTTGAAGACTTCATTACTTGATGCAACAGGTAAGGACAAAAAAGCTTTCTTCTTCAACAATGTGAGAAGATGGTCACGTAGGATTATGCCAAATAAAACTGGAGCTTCCGAAATAGGAGGCTCATCTATAACAGGAAACCCGTTATGTCCAGTAGTTTTGAGAATAAACACTATGTTACGAACCTTCTCAATGCCATTAAACGTCTGAAGGGGGCCTGTGACTACATCGCCTACTGTTAGCTGCCTTGTATATAGTTCAGCATGAGTTCCTAAATAAGGCAAACCCTTGGCTTTCATTATAATGTCATATATATTTGCATTGAAAGCGTCTGCTACAGTCTTAGATATGAACAGCACCATCATGATTAAGGGTAGCAATAACAGGTTATTGGTCAGTTCTAGAATAATTACACATAGAGAAACCGTTGTCCTCATGGATCCACCGAGAAAAGAAGCAGCACCAAGTACAGCATAAAGACCATGGTTAAGATTGGAATTTTTGCCAAGCAACATTCCAACAATGCGCCCATAAGATGCACCAGTCACAATAACTGGCACAAAAAGACCAGCTGGTGCAACAACTCCATAGCTAAATATACTTAAAAAAAAGCACATGATGAAAAAGATGAGCACTGATTTAACCTCAAACTCATCATCAGTATTCTTGCTAAATAGATTTCTGATAGCATCATCATTTGTATTGAAAATGAGGCTGGCAAGATCATTGTAGTGATTGGGAGGGCACTGGAATTTCTTGTAGATACCAGACCGACCTATTGTAGGACAAGGCTCAGTTGGATCAGGTGGACATGGTCGGCAAGATGTCAACCATGGCAATCCAAAAAGAAGACAGGATGTAAAAATGGAAATAACACAGGCAAGCAAAATTTTGAAAATGGTGCCTTTCCTGCAAGGATAAATGATAGGAAGAATGAGCTTGGTAGAATGTATCATACAATGTTAGGAAAAGCTTAATTTTGTCACATTATCTTAACTAAAAGAGAAGCTTACTCGTTGATAAAATTGTATATGCGAAGAACTTTGCTCAATATCAAATTAAATAAGCTTCCAAGTATCCCACCTATAACACCGAGAATAAAGACAGGAGGAATGTCCACCAAATGATACGAAACACTTGCTGAATAAGCATCAAACATTATTAGTCCCCCTTTACCAAATAACCCACATCTACCACTTAAACATAAGTCAATCATGGCACGAAGCAAAATTGCAACTATTGCTGCTGTGAAGAAAGCTCTCCACAGAAGGGCACTTCTCCACCTGTAGGACAGAAATTAAATACTTATTAATGTATATTTTAGACATTGAAGGGGAACAAATTGACTTACGGAGTTTCAGATTGATAAGATAAAATAAAACAACAATTCATCCACTGTAATTAAAGGAAAACCAATTCTAACAAATAACAAGATAAGCCATTTTATACGAAGACAACTACAGGGAAACTGGGAAACAACAGATTGTGTCGGTGCAATTCTGAAGGCTGAAGGATCTCAACCAATCCTTGTACATAAACACATGAAAACCACCCTGCAGGACAATTAATCAACAGCCTTCAGCATGTCTAGCGCTTATTACATATTATTGGTTTACTGGGAAAAAGATAGAACAAGAGACCTGTAGAATGAGGACTCAGCAGTGAGGGCAAGGCAACAGAAGCCAGATAAGTGGTTGAAGGCCTCATCAGGTTATTATACACTTAACAAACCACCCCCATCCAAAAAAAAAATGAGAATAATTATATAGGCACATTCATTTCCTGGCTGATTTTTGAAATTGATGTTTATCCTGATAAGAAAAAGAAGCTGCCATAGTTTTAGAGGAGTTTGGTTTAAAATGTTTGCTATCCATAGTAAAATAAGAAGCAATGGCTATCGAGAAATTACTGCAATCAAACAAAATGGTTCAAAATAAAATTATATTGGGTGAAATTCAGCCACAAGTTAGCAGTTGACAATAAACACAATAATAAAAGTAAAGGCATGAGCATATTTTATCTATTTATTTTTATTTAAAAATAGAGGGGAGGGAATTAAACACCTTCACAACATCATTGACAAAACCCATTCAGAGTTATGATTCCAATTCTCAAACAAAGAATAATGAAAATTTTGCAGAGTATACAAGACGAATTGTAATGTTTAGTAGATGGGCAAACCAACCAAGATGTCATCCCTTCAAGAGCAAATAACACACCACCAACAGGGGCACGAAAGGCAGCCGCAATTCCAGCTGCTGATCCACATATTATTAGATCTCTCCGGTCTCGGTCATTCTTAAAAAACTGAAACCATTTCCAGGTTAACCCATATCTCTTTGATCCACCCTGACCTAACAATGCTGCCACGCATGCACCCGTATGCACCATAGGCCCTGCCTTCCCGATAAGAAGTGATGATGACACCGCTGTAATGCTTCCAATAATCTGTAGATAGAACCAACAATAAGTAAATTTCTTCTCCAGATAACAAAAGGATTCCTGCCTGAATCTTATAAAGGATACCAGTGTACTAATGAAGAGACTATGGCAATCCTATATTATGAGGCTGAACAATAAGTCATTAGACGAACAAAACAGTTTAATATTATTGCTCACAAAATTTCTATCAAGATATGTGCTCCGTGCATTAAGGAAGGAAAATAAAAGATAAATACTAAAAAGCACCATAGTAGGTGAGACTACATTGATACAAGGAAATAAGAATTGTCTGCCTCATGTATGGCATTTCGATTTAGATTAGATAATATTTAGATGTCATAATACATTTTTGCAAAATAGATTATCTTCACTAATTAGACATGCAATATACACCCAAAAGATGATATTATCATAGCTAACAGGAAATATTAGTAGTAGTCATCAATCTTTTTCCCCTAATTCATAAACATGTTCAGAAGGATGACATTGTATTGCAGCATAAAAGAAAAGATCTTACCAGAGGAAAGCAGAAAAAAATAAGACATAAAGAAAGAAGTGCCCATGTAAGTAAATGAGTAAATGAAAGGTAATGTGGCTAAAAGGTAATTGGAAACATCATTTGCACGCCACAAAAGTTGCATAAATTTTACATCACTTTGTGGTTGTTATTAACTTAGTAGTATAAGTTAATAACTTTTGAAATGTTTTACTGGCTAACTTTATGCAGAGACAAAAAGAAGTTATCCAAGTAAAATGATGCAAGACTTACACTTTTGTAATGTGCCAATAACAATGTCAATGAATAATGATATGAATGGGAAGTTGATTCTGTTGGGTTAAACTTAAAAATGACTTCAACAATGTAATTGACACTTGACAGATTAGTATAAATCGACCAAATATTGGTAACCTCATATCCACCTTTCATTACCAACCAGTGTTCACGCCATTTGTATACTCCACATGGTACCTAAAAATTTTATTTTAATATAACATACTTAAAGAAGAACACTAGCAACATGCTTCTTACTGCTAAATTATGAGTGGAACTTGTTAAATTGGGAGTGAGATCTCCGTGATTTAACGGGTGCTATATTAATTTCAAACAATAACAGAGTATATCAGAAAATGTGTTGATAGCCTTCCTTTATATTCTAATCCTTTATGGGTCTTATAAGCTTTATTATATTAGCTTTTCTAAAAACTTATTTTTAACTTAAGCATAAACTAATTATAGCTTATGGATAACTTATTTCATTTTTTTTTTCTTAGGAGGGATTCCGGATAAGTTTATCCACACACACCCTAAGTAGCTTAAGAACTACAAAAGTGAATACAGCAGACCTTAGAATACATCAACTCATATCATATCATATGAAATACTCCCATCTTAATAAACAAGATCACATGATTGTAAGTAGAAAATAGTGACAGTATGAACCCAAACCAATCCCAACACTACAAGAGCGTTGTATTAATGCATTGCATACCTTAACAATCAGAGTTCGTATAGTAAATATTCCAGGCGCGTCCACACCATTTAGGTAAGCCTTCACCTCAGGTATACCCGAACCGGTGGCAGTAGGTGCTATCAAAGCCGTGATTGTGGCAGCAAAAAGCGTGAGAACTAAATTTGAAACAAAAAATACTAAAAAGGCCCACAGAAACCTGCGAGAAATTACAAACTTCCAAAATTTATTCGATCCATTAAATAAAAGCAAACACAAAAATATGGAGTCAAACTTAAAAACTTGGTCCTACCTACTCTCCAACATCATATTGGAAGTGACCACGAACTTGATGCCGGCGAGATTCTCCACGGCGAGATTGTTGCAAAACCCAACAAGGCAAACGATCATGCCAATGAGAAAGCACAAGAGCCACTTCATGAAAATGAACTGAAATATTTGCGCCTTCCCACTTCTCCTCCAATCATGCTTCACGAACTCGTTCTCGCAAACCCTGCACACCCAGAACAAAAAGAAAGAGCGAGACCCGTAACCGCGTGAGGGAAAAGACTCAAACTTTAGAGAAAGGAAAAAGACCCAGATGGAAAAAAGAAGGAAAGACGGACTCGTAGTCGAGGCTCTCAATTGGGCTGACATTGGAGCCGACGATGGCGACCTGGGAGGAGGAGTTGATGATGGATCTTTGGGAAGATAACAAAGGTCGACGAATGAGAGATTCGGAGTCTCCATTGGTGAAGTGGTTTTGGGACATGGTGTGCAGTGAGAGTGAGAGTGAGAGTGAGAGTGAGAGTGAGAGTGAGAGTTGAATGGTGAAGTTTGAAGCATGAGAGTTTGACCGGAGCACGTGAACAAAGAAATGGCGGATACCAATTACCTACCTAATAGCCAGTGTGGGAGAGAGAAGATGAGAGAGAGTTTTAGGGACAAGAGAGTGACCTGTGTGGTGATTATTAGTGTGGGGTATCCTTTGCCAATAAAGGTTAAATACCGAAAGTTCTCCTTCGCCAATAAAGGTCAAATATTAAGGAAATTTCTTGTTACAAATACAAACTTCACATAACATAATAATAGAGTTAATCAATTTATATAATTAATTATCAATGTAAAATAATTTTATATTAATAATATATAAATGATTAACTCTAATATAATATATATGTCACATGCCATATGTAATGGAGATAGAGTTTGATGCCTTCAATAAATAAATTATACTATTAAAAAATAATAGTTTTAGAAGGGTTTTGCTTGCTATTTTAAATAGTGATCTTTTTGATTTTTTGCCATGAAAAAAAGGCTTATGTTTCTAGTTTGACTAATGTAATCAAATATTCACCTAACTCTTATTGGTGTAAAAAGGAATTATTAATTTTTACACCGAAACAGGAATTATTTCAAAACACTGTAATTTATAAAGATATGGTGATTTTCTTGTTACATCACTTCATATTTTCAACCGCATTAATCTTAATAATTATTGTATATATTTACTTAAACAATATATTAATAGAAACAAAAAATAAAGTATAATTATTGAAAGTTGGTAATATAAATATTCTAATAATTATATTTGTAATACTACATGTTTTTTTTTAATTTTTTTTATAATAATTATATGTTATGATGTTTTAAGGTGGAATGACTAGAGACTTTAAGAGTTAAGAAACATTTGAAGAGTTTTAGAGTCTTTTAAAGAATTTCTTTATATAGATCTATAGTTTAATCCTTAAAAGAAAATATATAAGTTTTTTTGTTAATAATTAATTCTTATAAGTTCAATTTCTCAAAATCTTAGAAAGATACTAGAGACAAAGGCTTTAGAGTGTTGATTATTCCTCTTCTTTCTAGACTCCTCCTAGGTGTAGATGATCCTTGTTGATTAGTTGAGCAGTAATTTAAGGTTGTTAGATTATTATTATTATCTTCGAATTTAATTTTAGTCTCTTATGATAATTATTATATGTAATTTTGTTTTAAAAATTTTATTTTTAATTTTTTAATTTTATAAAAATTATAATATTGATTGTAACTAAATATACATTTATTAACTTAAAGATGTAGCTTTGACTATGACTTTTTTTTTACACCATATGATTTTTATGTAATGACGTCATAAATAATATTTAATAAAATTTAAGTTAAATTATATTTTTAATTTCATAAAAATAGTATAAAAAAATTGAAAATGATAGCAAATATTAAGATTAATAGAACAATTCAACGTTACAATTTTAATAATTAATATATGAATATTTAATAATGATTTATTTTTATAAATTTTATAAAATTAAAGACTAAAATTATGAAATTAAGAACTCAAGAATTAAAATTATAGATACAACGATATAAGAGTATAATTTAGTTTAAAATTATTTATTTAAATCTGAATATGATTTGATTAAGATACAAATATACGATAAAATTAAGTTAACTTAATTTATTGATATATTAATATTAGTATTACACAGAGTTAAATCATAGAATTAAAATATATAATCATGACTAAAGTACGTTTTATTATTTTATGATAAGTAATACTAATGCAAAAGTAACATTATTTTATATAAAACAAAAACTTTTAAATTAAAATTTTGTATGATTATTAGTATTTATTATTAATCGAGTTTAAATAATCCAAAATATATATTATCTGAATAAATTCACAAAATATATTAAATTTATTTTTAAAACGTAAAACCGTAAAAATAATTTCAACACGAGTCAAATTAATAGAAGGAGACGAACATTAATACAAATAGATTGTAGTTTGTTTGTCTCGTGGATTGGATGTATGCAGCGGAATGAGAATAAAATCTCGTGTACAGCAAATGTATGTTAATTATCATTTTAATGATTTTTTTTTTAAGAAATAATCCAAGAAACAGACAAATTAAATAAATAAATGAAAATGTATATTAATTATCATTTATTTGTCTAATAATGTTAGCTCTACCCTGTGTTTTTTTTTTGTTCCTCCCTGGAGTATCCACCGCCGACAGCAGTGACTAATCTCCTTGCTACGTTGGAGACACCTCAAAGAGTGAGATAGTTGGCCCCAAGATTTAACGCCGCTGCATACACAATGCAGGATTCAAACCTCTGACCATGTGTTTGGTACTTAAGGAGTGGACAGGAGAGAAGCTAATGTTTATTTATTTTTAGTTAATTTAATTAAAGAAGAATTGGAGATGTGTGGAGTAAAAACGAGGGGTTAAAATTTCGTTTCTCCTTTTTTTTTAATATTAAGAAATATTTAAAAGAAAAAGAAAATGATTTATAATTTTTAACTCACTTAAATATATTTTTAATCTCTTAAATTAAAGAAAAAATTATTTTTATCTCTTAAATTTAAAATTATTTTTTATTTTTTAATTTTTAAAAACTGTTTTAATATTTTAAATTGCTAATAATACATTTTTTTAGGGGAATTAATAATACATTTAAAGGCGATAAATTGAAACACTTATATGACATCAACTAAACTTAATGTTATGTTCTTTTATTAACAGAGACAAGAGTAAATAGATTTTTTTTAATAATATTTAAAAAATTCTTTAAAAAAATTAAGTAAAATAATTTTTTTTTAAATTATAAAGACTAAAAAGATAAATTTTAATTTTGGAAAACTAAAAACAAACTTTTCTTAAATTTAGGAAATTAAGAACATATTTAATTTTTTTTGAACGCACATATTATATTATTATGAGATTTTATTTTATTTTTTTGACTCCTCTATTATTATTTCATTAGATCGTTTCTTGTATAAAATACGCGTGTTCTTTAAAGAAATTATAGTTTTTTTTATAATTAATACACTTTGATCATATGGTGCGATGCTTAATGATAGTAGGATAATTATTATTTTGAGGATTTGCTTGATTTGGAAATAGAAAGTAAATCCTTAAACTTAGATTTGCACCAACATTTGTCTAAAATTTAACCCAAAGATGATTTAGATGAATTAGTTTATTTTACTCAATGAGTACTTAGCTTCCTGATTTCGCTTCTAGCGGTATATATGAAGTTTATAAACCAACAACTACAAAGTGCAGGAAGCGAAAACATAATTAAACTTGTGCTTCTCTTGTTTTTTTTTTAATAAGATTTTATAAAATAAAAAAAAACGTGGGTAGCTAATTAAAAGGTGTGAGTAATTTATGATATTAAAATAACAAAAAAAAATTATAATAGAGTAGTTACGGAGATAAATTTATAAATAAAATATTTATACTAAAAAGGTCAATTGCTTTTATTGTAATTATAGATAAAATGACATATTTAATTTAATATCTGTTTAATGTTTTACCTTTTTTATTTTCCAATTTATGCAATGTGATGGATAAATTTCTTTATCCAATTAATCTTTAAAATATTTAAAGAATGGAAAGAAAAAAAAAACTACTTCATTTGGTTGAATTGTATTCTATTTCGTGCAATTTCATTTTGTTTTTCCTCTATTACAAATATTAACATCCTGGTTTAATTAAGAAGTACTTAACCAATAATATGTAGTACAAATAACACATAATTTTATCTCTTAAATATATAATTTAGAGTTCATTCCTTGTGTCCATGTATTAGAAAAATATTTATAAAAAATAATACTTTTAAATTGATTTTGATACTCTAAGAGAATAATAATTGACTTTTAGCTTAAAGACGCCTAATTCATTTTAAAAAAATATTTAATTTTTTTGTTTGTACCAAATAATAGATAATCATATACTAAATTCTTTAAAGAATAGACATGAAGAAAGTGAGTTTTATTTTCTAAAAATATAAGCAAAAATGGAAGCTGGGTTGTACAATTAAGGTTTGAGGTATGTACTAATTATGTTGCTCGAGAAGGATTGATGGTGTTAAGATTAAGGGTCCACCGTCCACACTGAAAATAATTTAAGCACAAAACAAATGACAGAAGAAGAGACTTGAAGAATCCAAAATCAAATGCACAAATTGTGTTTTCCACTACAACCACTGAAGTAGGAGAAGGACCACACCAAACAAATTTGACTACGCCCTGTTTTAATACACACAACATTGTTTTTATGTTTTAATTCGGACTCCAGTGATTTCTTTTCTTTGACTCATAAACGGTTATCCGTATGATCACCATTCATATACTATTAATAAATGAATTATTCTATCTATACTATTAATAGATGGGGTTATCCTTTCTGATATTTATATTTTTGTACAATTTTACTCTTTTCAAAAATTACAATATTTTTTTTTTATTTTCATTATATAATCACCTGTACTTTTAATAATTATTCATTATTATATAGTTTTTATCATTTATTATTTTTAAATAATTCACAGAGACACCGTGCATTTTTTGTGACATTGTACATTTTTAGTTATTATTGTTGGTTTTGTTGAAATTATTGTGTTGTGGTGGTTTATTGTTGATAAATTCTTAAATTAAAAAAAAAATTCTTTATGAGTTTTAGTCTTTTAGAAGTGTTTTTTAGCAACAGCCTAAATTGAATCGTAGAATAAGGTATAGAAGACTTTTTTTAAGAAGTGGACTTCATAAGTTCAATTTCTTAAGAAAGTTAGAGTGTTTAGAGAAAAAAGCTTTAGAGCTGTGGTGAAACATTTTTCCTCTGATTTCACAAAATTTCTCCTACTTTTCCCCTGAGAGCAATTGTAGTTGCTAGTTGCTGATTCAAGATTCCAAGCAAGAATCATATTTGTTGTTGGTGGTGGGGTAGAGTTATTGGAGTTTCGACCTTCTTATTCTTCCTTTGATTCTCTTGGAGCTAGAGGTAAGGGGAGTTGGAATTTGATTTCTTGTTGATTTGTGAAGTTATGTTTTGCATGACTATTGCTAATCATGGTTGTAATGATGTTTGAGATAGAAAACTTGAAATTGTAAGTTTTGGGTGTTTTTTTTTATTTGTTGAGAGAACTTGGTGATTTGGAATAAATCGTGGTTGCATGTTGTTTATGATG